GATAGATAGATAGATAGATAGATAGATAGATAGATAGATAGATAGATTAATATATATTAAAATCAGCAGAAAAGTAGGAAGGCTCTCAATGCAAAGAATTGATAATTAACCTGATTTGCTCATTGCGCATAATATACATTCACTGAAAGATTACACTGTGTTCCACAAATATGCATAACTATTATGTATCAATCAAGAATTTCACCGAAAGTAGCCCCTTAATAAGAAGCAGCTTCATAACTTCACAGGTTATTGGGAACACAGACTACTGAGCTGCACCCCTGACTCACTGAATGAGCAGTAAAATCAGACCCGAGAGGCAATGACATCAAATTGCTGGGGGTGGATGACCTGTCCTGAAGCAAATCTCACAATGTGTGTAGAAAGCAGTACCACCTTAATGCAAGGATGAGTGTGTCACTAGGCTATCTGTTCACATGGGCAGTGGCATCCATGGCAGCTTACTGTATCACTCTATAAATCACACCTGCATATGCTTGCTTACTGTATAGCATCTAAAAAGAAGGAAGGAAGGAAGGAAGGAAGGAAGGAAGGAAGGAAGGAAGGAAGGAAGGAAGAAAGAAAGGAGGGGAGAAAGACAAGAAGGAAAGCAAAACTGGGAAGAAAGAAGAGGGATGGAGAGACAGAAAAGGGGAGAAAAGAGAGAGTGAACAGAGGAAGAGTGGGAAAGAAGAGAGAGATAAAGAGAATGAAAGAAAAAAGTGTGAAAAAATGTCAAGTGATGCCTTTTTGAGAAGTTTGTTTACATAGCCTATAACCTGAGCCCCTCAATTGTCCCTTGACCCACAGCATTGTTCCTGTCGCTTCCAAACTGTAAAATACAGAACACCAAGTAACCTATGCATGTGACACACATAAAGGTGTGGACGTTTACATAATACTTATGAGCAATAATAGAATCTGAATCGAGGTGACGCTATTTTAAGGAACAGAAATGGGAAAGGGATAGACAGAAACCTAAATGATATCTAAGAATCAAAGATTCAGCTGTGAGTGCCCAGGACACAGAGTATATCACCCCAACACACATGGGAAAATTCTTTGTTGCTCAGAAGTCAAGCTGAACAAAAGCTCCCAGGAAATTAGCCTACCACTATTATGGAAAGGGCACTTTCCATAGTATTTCCTGACACAGAGCAAGTCCATGGGGGAGGGGGAGACAGCACAGGGTTACCTGATAGAGAAAACTGAGAGAAGATAGGGAAACTAATAAGCTTCTATCTGAATACATAAAGCTTCTTTACGGGGAGAAGTGTCTGGCCAGTTGATTCACACATCTAGGTTAACCAAACAGAATACAAACTTCCTTTAAGCTGAGTAAAACTTGAATGAGAAACTGAGCCCAGCCTTTTCTGGAGAGATACAGCATTTGGGGCCAATGAGGGTTGCAGACTTGTGGCCATTCACACTGTGGGCCTCCTCTTGAAGCTTCAGTCTACTGAAATCTGGATGAGTTAATAATGATCATCGAAAACGATGACTATTTGGGAGAGGATGTAAAAGAAGGGAGGACCAGCTCTTTCGACGACCCTGGGGACCTTTCTGGGTTATTATATGCTTCTTATCCTCATGCTGCTTGTCACCGCCTCTGTCTGAGTCACAGTGTCACGAGAGCAGAGGAGATCAAACCCAGCCAGAGCCTATTTATGAAGGATGGCTGTAACAATGGAGTTGGTGAAGTCAGGGGCAGATTTCTCAGAAATAATAGGGTACCTCTCTTGTCAAGTCCAAAGACGTAAGCAGATATGACCAGTTCTAAAAAGAGTTCAGGATTTCATCTTTTAGGAAATGGGCCTTCCCACTATGTACTCAGATTCTAAAATGCTGTACTCTTCCATAAACAAATCCACAAAAAGGGTACTGTGCTGAGAAAAAAAAAAAAAAAGGCTTCTGTTTGCCTTTAAATCCATTTTAAATGAAAAACTTTTGTTATTATCAATATAAAAGATAAACAACCCAAACTAAAGAAATGTGTAGAAGCCACAACAGCAGTACTCTATAAAAATTAATAAGCTTGGCATAATATTCCAGACAGGGAGAAGAAGCATTGCTTCTGACACAGGTGCCTGTAAATCTCCCTGAAGCAGCACTGCTTTGAAACCTCTCCAGCCTCAGGAAATTGCATTATGCACAGGAAGACAGCAGCTCTGGAAGCTTTGCATTCCGGGTCTGCGCTTCTGGTGAAGCAGCTTAAATTGGCAACATGTACACATCTTTCAACCGTTCTTCACACACAGATAAGGGAGTTTAAAGAAATCTTTCCCAGAAACTCGAGAGATCTTGTTTGTTGTGTATGTTATCAGTCTAAGGACAGCAGGTGGATGGGTAAAATACAGGACATCTTGCCAAATTATTTTCTTGGTTTGAGCTTTAAAAGGAGGAAAATTTAGAGACAAATAGAACTGTGCTTAAGCTCATATAATTAGCAGCGGTGAGTGAACTTTTGACGTGATGCTACTAGTCCCATTCATAAAGATTATCGAGCATAGTTTTGTTTTGTTTTTTTTCACCAAGCCTCTTCCAGAACATATCTGTTTGTGAGCCTCTTCACTTTGGGAGGTGCCCCTGAAGACAAGCAAGACCAAACTTGCATCAGTGTCCCTTTTCCAAGAGGCAGATTAAATGCACAAAGATAGTGGGGCGTTCTGCGCTTTGGTTTAAATGTTCTTGTGATCAGTGACCTGATAACATTATTTTTTTTTTTTACTTAGATACAACACATTTAAATTGAGATTCTGATTTTATGGAAAAAAAAAGCTTGACCCTCCCCCTCAAAAAAAAAGAAAAGAAAAGAAAAGAAAAAACAGTGACAAAAGAAACTTCAATACTTCGCAGTTCGGTAAAATCATTTCAAAGAGTCCCTTTCAACACACTTGTATATGACAGGTGTAGGCACTTGTTTGCCGTTGTTTGTTAGCTCTTATAAAGCAAGTGATCCTGGTTAAGTCAAATAGGTTCCATGACCTAGGACTGAACCATCAGGTCCAAATTAATGAGCTATTTGAAAGATGTTCCAACTCCCTGTAGGCTTTGGTAGGAAATGATAGCACTGTAAAGCAGAGCCAGGCAAACCACAGTTACATAAAATGCCTTTTCAATTTCTGCACTCTATTACCCTTTACTATTATAGGAAAATGGTGTTATCGCCTGATTACTGAGAAAGCACACAAAAATCTCGCCTTCCAAATCTGAGCCAGCCCTTGACTAGTAATGAACAAAGCCTGGCCATCTGCTCCTAATATCATTATCACTTTGGCCATTTGGGCAAGGGATATATCTGTTCTCCTTCCAGGAGAGGTTTAAGATCAGGAAATTGAAATAAGTAGACAAGAAGAGACGTTTGAGAAAATAGAATATCCCAATGAGAGTCTTATTCGTTAGGTTCTTACTACCATCAATTTAATTTTCATTTTGGCCACAGAGTTAACCTCTGGGGCTCTCATTCTATTGAACATTTCAATAAAAACTTAATTCCGGAGTTTCTACAGTAAATGCCTGGGAAGAAAACCAGCCATGTGGGTGCTGTTAGTCATCCATCACCCCCACCCTGCTTCCTGGTGACTATCCATTGGGAAGTCAGAACATTGGGGCTGAGCTAAGATTTCTTCCTGGAATCACACTATGCCTCAGGCCATGTTAATTTCCTGAACTAAACAGTCCCTAATCTGCTGAAAGGCAGCTGGCTAACTGCTGGTGTCTGGCAAGTCCCCATCTGTCCCCTTGCTGGGGTCTCTTCCTGCTGCCTCCACTTTCCCTTTCCCCCAAGCAGGCGTCTCTCTTTGTTTTCAGGGGTCCCTCCACCTGAACTTTCTTTTCTCTGCCTGTGAACTTGAGCTCTTTCCTCTCTACCTTGCGGACCTCGGGCTTTGTCTAAGTGACAAGACACAGTTGTGTGGACTGTAGTTACCGCGCCGGTGATGGTGGAGATGATGACGGCGATGGTGGAGACAGGGTGCTGATGGCTGGGGAGCGCAGGCTGGGCGGCGTGGCAGGAGGATGGACCGCGGAGGCGGTGGAGAGTGGGGTGCAGAAGGGATGGAGTGCAGTGAGACTGCAGATGGGAGCTGTCCACGCGCCGAAGTGCTGAAACGCCGCAGCCATGGCATCGCTAGAGCGGGGACAGGCGGGGAGGCGCTGCGAACACAGAAGGAAGAAAAAGGCAACAAATACCTTCACACCGCCGCCCAGGCTTGCTTGGAGAATGTGTTTCCGCAGGTGTCCTCGCGGCTGAACTGGGTGGGTGAGATCGCCTATCCTGGCAGTTGGAGCTCAGATTTCTCTAGAAAGCTGTGAATGAGAGCCCGGGCAGCATGGGGCTGTGATTTGGGTAGGAGGCGTGTGCGCCAGAGACTCTGTCCTTCTATACCAAGCCTGGCTTTCCCCTGGGTCCTAAATGCCTCCGCAGGTTCCTCTCACCCGGTCCAGCAATATGGTACTAAGAATTATTGTAATCTTTTAACACCTAGGACAAAAAGTATTGGAGACGTATCACTCCCCACATTTAAAGCAGAATCTCTTAGATAATTTCAATTTCCAAAATAGACCAGGTCCCGTTTATGTAAACCTGACAAACGATAACATGCCTGTGGAAAAATAATTATTTTTATTAGCAAATGACATTCAGAAATGGGCTGTTGGAAAAGTCTCAAATTAAAGCTCCACCTTGTCAAAATAAATACATGTAAGTTAATCTGTCAATGAAAACTAAAACATTTACCAAACAACTAAAAAATACGTATTTTAGTGGTTTTAGAATATGAAACATTTTTTAAACAGAACAATAAGATAAATCACAGAAAATAGGTCAGCAAATTTGAATGTATAAATTATTTCTTAATGTCAAAGGATATAAATATAAATTATCACTTGAAAAGTCACAGCAAATATGTATTTTGTACATAGATATTTCATAATAAAAAGGAAAATGCTGAAAAACCAAAAAGAATTTTAAAAGTCAACTTTATCACTAAAAAGCAATGCATGATTTAATATATCACCAAAGAAATGCCAGAGAGAGAAAGAGAGGTAAAAGATCAATGATGTGTGGTTTGGTTGAAAATTTTAAATGCACAAAATATTCCATATCCTAAGATATTAGTGAGAAAGTGTAACCTTCCTGTAGATCCACTTCAGAATGCATTTCAAAAGTCTAAAATGTATATGATGTTCAGTCTTATCATTCTACTCAGCACTTTGTGTGAAGATTTATGCATATATATATTTCATTTATGATCATAGAAATTTTCAAAACAATAAACTTAATTTTATTCAGGCTGCAAAATTTTCTGAATCAAGGCTACAGTTCTGAAGAGTAAAGACAAAGGAAAATGCTTGCAAAAGTAGAAATGGTGACAAGACACAGATGTGGCAACAGCTTCTCAGGTTGATAAGATCGTGGGATAGCATGAAGGCATAATAAGTAAATATGCTTTTTGCTAAGGGGACTCAATATTCTTCCCTATATTTGCCTAAATTTGTCATATTTATTTAAAAACTGAAAGCCTGTGAGTCTATTTCCAAATTCCTATTATATGCTTTACCAAGATTTTAAATCTTCCAGCTTTCACATGGTATCAATATTTGTTCTCTCTCTCTCTCTCTCTCTCTCTCTCTCTCTCTCTCTCTCGTTTCGGTATATGTTATACATAACTCACACGGGAGAGGAGAGCTCTACTTGGCTCAGTGCTGCCTGTAATCCATTGAAGGCTGCCTGGAACTTCACAGTAGTTCAATAAATATGTCCTGAGTGGAAGAGAAAATGGATGAATGACATAACCCACAACACATATATGTGTATTTAAAGTATTTTATGAAGCTATGAATTTTATATAGAAATTGATCTGAACAAGTTCAGCATATCAAAATGGTCTACAGGGGATGCTGAGCTTTCATTGCCTAAGCTTAGTTAGAGAAATGTCTTCAAGGACACAGCTCAGCTCATCATAGACACAGGCAAAGACACTAAATGTGAACTGTCCAAGGAAAACACTTTCCCCAATTAATTCCCATTGTGCTATTTTCATTCACTCAAATACATACTTTCATCATTTCTCCTATATTGCCTTCCTCCACTTCTGATGGCCTTCCTGTACTGTAGTAGTCCTCTTTCTTCCTTCATGTCATCTTTTTTTCCTTTTATAAATTCTACATATGAGAAAAACGTGTAATATTTGTATTGTCTGCATCTGACTTATTTTACTTGACATGGTGATTTCCAGCTGCATCCATCTTCTGGCAAGTAAAATGGCTTCATTCTTCTTTGTGGAACAACAAAAAAAGTAATTTTCTTTATCCATTAGTCTCTTGAGGGGCACCTAGGCCAGTTATATATACTGGATAGTATAAATAATGCTGCAATAAACGTGGTTGTGCGGATATTCCTGTGGTGTGCTTAGATCCCTCTGGGTTTAGCTCTGGAAAGGTACGGCTAGATCACATGGCAGCTTTATGCTAAGGCTCTTAAAGAATATCCATGTTTACTTTCATTTAAAAAAAAACTGGACTAAGTTACATTCTCGTCATCAGCGCACAAATAGTTCTTTCTTCCAATCCTTGCGAACATTTGTGTGTTCTTCGTAACAGCCATACTAATAGCCCATTGTTCTTAAATGTATGCCCCTTTTACAGTTTTGTGGGCTGGATATGGTGGCAAAGGCTTACAATACAATCCCTTAGGAATCAAACGTGGGAAGAGTCAGGTGGAATGCCAGCCTGAAATATGTATTTATAGAAAAATGTGTTGTAGACTTTTCCTTTTTCTGAGATGCAATATTGTTTGACACCCTTTCTCCACACTCACACTTCCTTGATTCTCTCCCCACTAACAGAAATGAAAGGCGAGACACGGGTATTTCAGAAGTGTGTAGTTCTAAAAACAATTAGTTTTGCTGGAAGTTCACCTGTGCTTTCACGGCTTTGCTCAACCAGTGTTAACTTTTGGAATAATTTTACTATTGATCAAGACATTTGAATGACACCATTGATAATAGAGCTGACTTAGATCCCTTAGATATATGTTCTAAGTGATGAAATAGAAAATTATATACATATGTGAGGAAATCGTATGCATGAGATCAGAATATGTTGATCATATAAATGCTGATAGTCTGTTTATTGGAAAAGTCATCAACCCATAGTACATGAAAAGAGATGGGCGGTGACCATAGAAACTACTTGCTAGAGGAGTACAGTCTTATAGGCTAAAGTTTAAATATCCAAGCTTAAAATTCAGTTTCACTGAAAAGAATGAAAAAAAAAAACTCCTTTTAAGAGGCCTTTTGTCTTGGTTTTATTGGTTTGGGAGACAGAGTTGCATATAGCCAATCAGTCCTTGAACTTACTGCGAGCTGCAGAAAGATGGCTCTGAACTCATGATCCTTCTTCTCTGTATCCTGAGTGCTGGAATTTAGGTGTGTGTCACTTACTCAGCTAACCTATGTCAACTACACTGATTACTAAACCAGAGGTACCGATATATGTCAACATTTACTTTTCCCTGAAGTGCCAACCACAGTGTGTACTTCCCCTTCACACTCTGCTTGTTAACCGTAATGTTTATAAGCCCCATCTCTATTCCAGTGGTTCTCAATCTTCCGAATGCTGTGAGCCTTTACTACAGTTTCTCACGCTGTGGTGACCACCCAATCATAAAAGTATTTCATTGCTACTTCATAAATGTAATTATGCTACTGTTATGAATCATAATGTAAATGTCTGGTATACAGGATATTTGACACGTGGCCTCCAAATGAGCTGTAGCTTCCTTTTGATCTAGGCATGGGTTGATCACCAACATGTGAAGGTTTATCTACCCAGGGGATGCACTGAAGTTGGTAGTGCAAGGTACTAGTGGATTAATACACAGAGGAATTCTGATGTTTATGAAAGAGGTATTGGAATAATATCACAATGGCAAAGCAACATTTCTGGACTGTAGAGAAATTTTAATCCAATAACATGGCTGCTCTAATAAGGGATAACATCCAAAGACTTAGGTCTATATGATCTGGATGAAATACAGACACACTCTTAGCATGTATCTTTGATTCCTCTAGCTGGAATATGCACCTTTAATCCCTCTGGCTAAAATGCAGACAGACCTTTAGCACACACCTTTAATCCCAAACAATGACATCTAATTGAGGAGCAAACAAAATGATGAATCAGAGAAAGATCTGACAGAATGAGGCAGAGATAGGATGTGTCCCATTCCCAGGAGAGCAGACAGGAAAGAGAAGCCACTCAAGAGCAGTGCATATAGTGAGTAGAGCGTTTGTGAAGACACTGCAGTAGGGTTTTGGAGTACAGTGCAGTTCAGTGAGTACAGTTCAGTTAATGCAGCTCAGTTTGTGGAATTCAGAGGCAATTTTTCCAAGCAGAGCAATTCAGTGAGAAGTGGAGAGAAGCCGATTTGAATCAGTCAGCTTGGAGAGTTGTTAAGCCAGAACAGCTGAGTTTAACTAGTCAGCCAGAGGTCAGAAGGAACTAAAAAGTGTGGCTTATTCAGCAGTAAGTCTCAGAGGCTGAAAACATTCTAGGCCTACCTAGGTTAGCAGATAGAGGCTGGAAGATGAAGCCTTCAAGGTACAGGCGTGCAGAGGATTAGATTGTGCAAAGGCTAGAAGCTTCCAGGCCTAGGCTTAGAGATGGTTGGAAACCCTCTGTGATCAGCCAAAGCCATGTATTCATAAAGCTTGGGTTCAGCTCTCATCTCATCCCCTCATCTGAGGAAATAAAAACATTTTCACTGGACACCTGCCTAACTTGAATGTTTAAGGGATGGAAGAACTTATGAGGACTAGGGTCAAATTGTGATGACGAGAACATTCTAGTTATATCTAGTTGTATCTCATCCCATTCAAAGTTCTATAACATATATCTCAATATATTCTCATAAGAAATTGCCAGTGCTATTTCTCTTATGTAGCATATAGGCCAGTTTTGAAGTTTCAGAGTTTGTGCTAGTCAGGATAGCCTAGGGTATACTGAAAGCAAAATTTATATCTGCAGTCCCACAATAATGGCTTCTTTCTTATTCTCACAAAAGGTGAGGGATGAGGGGAGAAGGTGGGCTGTGCTGGAAAACCACCAAGGTACTGTTTGAGGGATTATTACATCAGGGAACAATAATGCCTGAAGAACTTACACCTGCTCTTATGCCTCAGCAAAATCATTTCTGCACATGGCAGATAGCCAGATTAAGTCTAATAGCCCTGCCTGTATGCAAGAAGGCTGGGAAATGTTGGCAGTCGCCAAAGTATTTCATGACCAGTCACTTAAAACACCAGCCTGTTTTTATGGCTGTTAAACACACACACACA